TCATGTTGATATCTTCAATTCTCTAATTTTGGTGAATATTTTTGTAATTTTTGGTAAAAAGTGATATTTTCGACTTCTTGTTAAAAACCGCAAATCCAATTGCTTTGATATTACATATATAGGTACTACATGTGGTCCTCTCTCAGATTTGTTCATTTTGTAATGATATCTTTAATTCTCTAATTTTGGTGAATATTTTTGGTAAAGTGATATTTTCGACTTCTTGTTAAAAACCAAAAATTCAATTGCTTTGATATTACATATATACATACTACATGTAGACCTTTCACAGATTTGTTCATTTCGTGATGATATCTTCAATTCTCTAATTTTGGTGAATATTTTTGTCATTTTTGGTAGAAAGTGATATTTTCGACTTCTTGTTAAAAACTAAGTCTGATTGCTTTGATACTACATGTATACATATTGTTCATTTTCTAATGATGTCTTCAGTTCTTTAATTGAAATGTGCATTGCTAACAGCGGAGCTATCTCAGCCGATAGGCTGCTTGTTTACATCAACATGCATACACATACACATGAGCAAATAACTTTCGTTCATCGCACATGGCAAGTACTTCGCCACTCATGTCAAAAATAATCAAATTTTAGTGACCAAAAATCTGCGTAAATTTGTGTGCTCGTGGAAGCTATCAGCTTATGCAAACAGTCATGAATGAATTTTGTCTAGGCTGCTGGATCTCATGTGCACCATGCTTTACATAAACAATTTTTTTTACAATTTTTACCTTGCCTCTACCATCAGGTACCGGTATATTATAAAGGGAAAAATTTCTGTCCGTCGTCGTCGTTGTTGTTGTTGTTATCATCGTTGTTGTTGTTATCATCGTTGTTAATTGTTATTGTGTGCACAATAACTTTACTAATTTTATTCCAAACTTTATCAAACTTGGTCACCTTATTCATCAGTATAAAGTCTTCCCCGAGTATGAACGACAGATGTCCTGTATGAAAATATCATGCAAAAATTGAGATAATCTGATAAAATATTTTGACTGTTTCTACTTGACTGACCACTGGTGATATCTCACTGATCTCAGTGAAAATATGCATTGCTGTCTGTGTTCAATGATTTATCTTGTAATAATATGGTTGGTAATGTATCTCCCAAATCCCATGGGAATGCTATACTGGGTTTCAAAACCAACTCATGGAGAGTTTTTCTGAGCTTTTATAATACTAATTTATAAACGCTCTTCAAAAACAAAGATTGCAGTGTTTGAAGATGTAGATTCTCAGGAGGCAACAGTACTGTTGACTTCTCTCTCCACTGGTCACTAACTATTTATGTTGATTTGCATACAAAGCCGAGCTTGCAACATGATAACTATTCATAGTGTTTTTTTTTACTTTTCAAATAATACAGTCGTCACACAATGAATATAATAAGGCAGTTCATAATTGTCTCAGTGAATCATTAATTTTTGACAGACACCTGTACAAAAGCCAGCTAAAATTTTCTGTTATCTTGCATGTTTTATGAATCTATTCACGTTTAAATGCAGCCCTTTTTTTCTGAGATAAGGCATTTGTTAGTCCCTGTTTGGACGTAGTACAAAAACGGGGACTATTAATTTGGGTTTGTTCGTTCCGTCCGTATGTACGTACGCACGCCGGAAGTTATATCTCGAACACCCATTGACGGATTTCATTCAAACTTTACATGAAGACAAAACATAATATTTTACATATGCGCGTCAAGTTACCTCATGATCGGAGGAAAAATGGCCGACTGGCAGTCATTTTGGATGTAAAATTTGCTATTTCTGATACCTAAACGTGTCTGCAGCAGTTTCTTGGAGATGACTGGGCCGATTTGGATCAAAGTTGGTATGATAATCATACATGTTGGGTTGTAGGTGTACGTCCTTTTTTCACATGATTCGAACAAATATGCCCGACTGGCAGCCATCTTCTTTTTCATGGTACCCATGCTACTTTATCTTGAATGCAATGAACGTTTCTGTTTAAATTTTGTACAAAGATAGTATACCAATGGATACATTTGTACTAACATTATTTTTGTAATTTGATTGAATGTGACTGCCCAATGTCCAATTCTCATGTAAAAGCACTAAATCATAATTTTTTACAAATCCATCTCCTATTAATGGTTTCAATCTAATCTCAATGACTTTATCAGCATCAAATTGATATGTCAGATCACAAAATTTTGGACGAGGACTGTGTCATTAACAATGACTTGTTTTAATACTAAAATATCCAAATTACTATCCAAATTAATAAAGCTGGAAATTATGTCCCTTAAAATAATTAAACAAATTAGGCACCAATGTTTTTGCAAGATATTTACATCTATCAAGGACAATCGGTAGACTGCTTTCCCACTGTTGTTTCAACTCCAAAACTTGTTTGTATTCAAAATTAATTATGACAATGCATATTTATATTGAAACAAACTATGATAAAGGGAATAATTTTATATAACAAAGGGCAAGGTCACCAGAGTTCAACTGTGTTTACAATTAGACAGCAAAAATGCTGTATTAGTAGCATTTTCATTGTACATAATAAATGTCTAGTAGAGATTTTTAGTAGGGATTGCTTTCATCATGTTCATACAGCAGTTGATAAATAACCAACATTGTTCACGGTTTTACTCCCATGTGCAATATATTACATCTGAACCAAGATGGCGTCCTTCATTTATACACTTTATTAATATAATCAAATTACCGTATTTACTCTATTAGAAGCACATATACACCAAAAATCAATCAAAATGTTACTTATTTGACCATAAAAATACTTCTATAATTTATGTAAGTGTATGCACCAGTAACAAATACAGTATGTTGAAAAATTTCTAATTGGAACACTCACCAAATTTAGAATATACATGATAGGAGTGATCAGTAAAAACATTGTCATAATTTGTCTACATTAACATATTCATTTGTCCATAAATACTGCATTATTAATAACATAGGACAATGTGCAAATTTGGTTTTAATAATGTGAAATAACTGTTACTTTTGCACTTTATTTAATTTGCATTGTGTCAGAATTAAATGCATGCCATGCCCTCTTCGTCATTCATCATACATGTGATTTCATTTCAAGGCTATTCATTCAATTCAGTCATGGGGCCTGTACTAGGGAATATTGTTACATTTTCTATGTTTTACTCATTGGAATTTAGTATTTGCTTTGAAAAAAAGATTGTCAAATCAGATTCTTGCAGTTTTTATGAAGAATAAATTTAACATGAAAAGGTCAAATCTAAATGCATATCAAGTCTGACCACTCATGATATACGAATTTGTAAATTTCAATTGCATAAATTACCAGAATATACTTAACTAATAATGATGATTTCAATAATGAACTTGATATATGCTAATGAAACATTTCTCAGGTACGCTGCTGCTATTCTACTTTAATTGCATTGAAAATGTACCAGTACGTATTTTTATTCGCAAACCAGTCAATGCTTTTATGTTAGGTCTGTTGACATCCATCAAATTTTCCTTTTTTTGTCTAAAAAACCTCATTGTCATTTTCATTTTGTTGTATTTTCATTTCTCCATTTTTAAGTTCACTCTGCCAACGAGCACAGAGGGACTAGTGGGATGAGTGATGTGGGTGAGTGTTTGGGTGTGTGTAGGTGGGTGGGTGGGTGGGTGGGTGTGGCTATGTGTACCGGGTATGTGTGGGGAGGTAAGTTGTATTGTATTTGCCTCATTAGAAGCACATCTACAAGCAGCGCACATACATGTAAGCCAACCATTGTATTTATTAAAAGCAAGATCATCAAATTACGACTTAGCTTGAGCAAATACTATAATTTTGCAATGATTTCTTAGCAGTGCATATGCAGATTTCATACAAACACTTGATATGAATACATATATAATGGTGGGTTGCTGTGGCACATTTTGATTTTTGATTAGATTTTTATAGTAATTTATGCATATCATTATAGTTAAGTTACAAATGTATATCAACATTTTTGATGTTCGGTGGTCATGTCTCCAGCAACCATGCTCATATCTACCAATCAAAGTATCTTTCTTGAATCTTTTTGATATACTTTTGCTTATATATGTAATCAGTAAAAAGGAGATCATCGTTTATGGGCTTGTAACATTTATATCAATAACTATAGTTACAATTATCTGATCAAGACTTCTATCTGAACATGCGTGTTGCTTAGGTATTTACCTGTGATGGTATTATAACTTAGCAAGAACATCACGCATGACAGCTTGCTGATGCACATCAGTTTGTTTTGGGAATTGATTTAAAATGATTGCCATGTTAGTTTTATTTTTGTGTGTCCTTTACCATTTCTCAGACATGTCTTGACTGACAAGACAAGCCATAAGATAGTGGCACAGATTTACATATGCATTGAAATTCATTCATTTTAATTTGATGCAATTTAATTTGATTCAAAATGGCGGACTGATGATCTATATTTTTAAGTCCATTTTCTGGTGAAGTCTGAAAACTGGAACTTGTAATTTCACCACTGTGAGTGTATCCATGCGTCCTCGAATTCTATTCCAGAGACGTATCTTTGACATACTTTGAACAGTATCAATGAGTGAAGTTTTGATGGGAAATGGTTTACTGGGACTTGTTTTATGTGTCTTACCCATTTCTTGGGTACACTTAAACTAATTTTGATTTTTCAAGTGTCATCTTCCATTTCTCTGACCAAATTTTACCAATTTTGTTTAAATTTGGTACAAAGGTTAGACATAATGAGTTTCATTATGCGTAACAAGTTGTTTTTTGTCTAAATGAAATTTTCCTTTGTGTCCTCAACTGTAAATTCAGCCAAATACAAATGGGGACAATGTCATAATGTCTTGTTTGAAACTGTTTAAATTGTTTGCATCTTTGCCTTCATCATGCAGTTGTTTATTTGTCTAGTTATATTAATCAGCAGATTGGTTTTTAATAATATTATATCACATTCTTATTGTTTCTTTTTCCTTCAATGCATGCAGCAAGGACATATGGAAGACGGCGAGGTATTTGGGATAATTCATATTTTCTATGTTATTGTTCTAATTTTACTTTCATTTAAAAAATCTTTACTAACTATAAACAATGTATGTTTTTATTTAATTATCTATTCATGTGTTTACCCTATTATCTGACATAATGGAATATTTTAAAGTGTGTATAGTATTAATTCTCGTTGTTCCTCATTTGGTGGTGAAATTTGTCATGGGTTAGTTAATATTGTATTAATGCATTTCCCCTCCTTATAAAATGTACATTAATTTTAATATTCTTGTTTTAATATACATGTTGCACTGCACAAAATAGAGCTTATAACAGCTTTGGTGATGTCCCATATATACTGTCTTCAATTTTTTGAATCTTGAATATATCAATGAAATGCTAAAGTTAATTACTATTTAAAAATTAATTATTCAGAAAAAATTATAATTTAAAATTTCCAAGTGTACTGCTTTCTTCCACTTACCATGCTATTTCACCCAGCTATTCATATTTATATTCTTGATGAATTGTTTTAAATAAGCAAAGTATATTGACATATTAATATTAAGATAGTACTAATTTGGCTGTGTTCCCTACCATTAGTACATGTATGTTGCTTATCCCCTTAATTGATAAGATTACCAGTACCTCTAGTGTTAGGCATGCAGTGAAAATAAACAATGATCACAAAGGAAGGCAACTACTGTAAAGGGGTTAATTATTCACTGGGTTTTAAGTTTGCTTATTTCGCTGACAGGAAAATGCGCTAAATTAAAACCCAGTGAATATGTAAAATTTAGCATAGAAAACCTTATCTAAATGATAAAACTGAATTTAAAACCCACTGAATATGCCTGAAATGGTAAATCAGCAAAAATTAAACCCAGTGAAAATTGGTCATTTTACAGTAAGTTGGTTGCTTACTCCTGTTGCTTACTACTACTGAACATGTGCCCCATTCAAAGGTTTGCCCCAATCATTCAATTATCTTCAAAAATGATCCTATTGTGCTAATTAAATGCCTCATTTATTTTCTCTTGACTCCATCAACTTACCTGGATAAAGTTATCATCCACTTTAAGACATGTACTTGGGAATAAGGTTCTTTAATATCAGGATTACTTCTGAAAGAAACTGAATTAGTATAAATGAGCTTAAAATGTACAAGATTGTCATTCAACATGCATGCAATTTAAAGATTATTAGTTTCCCAAATTTGTTCTTGTTCTTAAAATCATGGAAAAACAGTACTCTCAATGAAAAGGATTTCACTATCTACTGTGTTTACTTTTATCAATCCAACTCGCCTCTCCACTATTCATATTCATCGTGCAAATTCCATTTATTTCCAATATCACTCATTTTATTCGCAATTTGATTGGTCCTTGGGATTTTAGATTGTGACGACACTCACTGATCATCTCCTAAGATATCAAAACATAACTAGTTTGCTGACTAGACAATATATTTTTGTAATATCTTTTTGAAATCAATAGTCTTAATGGTTCCGCACAAATTTCAAAGAGTGTTTTCATTTTAAAGTAGAATATGCCAGCTTTAGCATTTCTAATTCTCACAACCTCATCTTGACTTGTAGGATTATTTTCGATCACCTCATCAATTACTGATTACCTTCAAAATGGGTGAAAATATTGCCAATGTGTTGCTATAACCATAAATATATTGATTGTAGGTGATGACCTGATGGTAAAATATTTTCAAGCAAAGCTGTATGCAAATAAGATAGGGTGTAGCTTTGAACTTGCACACACATATTACCATTGTGATGTTAGTTTCTGCTGGTAAAATGGTTGTGAAGATGGATATATCCAAATTTGTGACCCATGATATCAGATTAATTCTCATATATTCTTGGAACATATTAAAATAATTCTGATATCATTGTTCACTCATTAGATATTCCATGTATAAGGATACAGAGGGATTGTCAACCTGAAAATAAATTTGTGAAGAAAGATGATATAAAAATAGCTAGATGTGTTCATTTTTGTTTTCCATTCTATGTGGACTCCTGTAAATAATACTGATAAGGTTTGATTGACATATTTGATGCTGAAAATCTATGTTCTTTTGTTCGGGTATTATAGATTGTAGGAGTAAAATAATAGCCTTCTTCTACATGTTAGGAAAATAATATTGATTCAAGAATTAAACTTATTTTGTTCCTTCATGTAGTCACATTTCATTTATATTTACAAACTAAAATAGTTGCTGGTCTTGCTTCTACTTTAATGTTTACTTATTAAATTTGTTTGAATATCATCATGGTGATCAGTTCAAAGATAACTGGAAAGAAAGTTGTTCCCTGGCTGCAAATTCTATGGGCTGTTAAATAATCATAACTATTTCTTGCGCAGCCAAATATTTCAGCAGTTTAAAATTTTTATTTATATACTTAAATCCTTGTATAATTAGCTTAGACGATGATGATGTTTTGCCATCAACCAAAAACTCTTTATTGAATTATTTGAAATGATTTATCCATAACGCCCCCTAACTGCATTATGAGTCATTGCAAACAAAAGAAATCATTGCAGGGCATACCTTGGACTACCCATTCTGATTGAAGACTAACACGAGAGCATGTAAAGGAAATTGTATAGAGACTCGTAAAAGACTAATATAGACTCAAATCTTCCTAGTCACATTCAGCTTTCAACTGTATAAAAATTAAGAGCCAATCAGATTACTGAAATCCATAGTAAACCAAGATACCTACTCCTAAATTGCATCTTTTTATGCAGCTTGAAAAGCTAAGCTGATATGGTCCTGCATGTGGGCAATGTGTATTAATTCGCATAAAAATTGACATTTAGGGATACATTAATATTAATGTTTATTGCCTGCATATAGACTATCGACACAGTAGCTACACTAGTTTTGACTTAATACTTACCTGCTGGTCAGTCTGTCAGTTGGTATCTTTTCATATTACCTAATTGTCCAATTTTTAGCTGATCCACAGATTTATCTAGTACTACTCATCAAATTTCAATGAAACTTAGTACTTAGTAGTCTTGAAAATAATGCACATGCCAATTTAGTTTAGGGATGAAATCTGTATGAAATTTATAGCTGTTTTGTATATCCTATAAACCAGGTAACATATTTCAATGAACTTGGCTCACATTGCTTTTAACACTGTGTATCAATGAGCAAAGGTTTCATGTTTAGCATATCACTTGCTGAAAGTTTCTATGGGTAGCCAAAATGAGTGGGAAAAACCAGACCACAACGGGTTAATTTAAATTTTTCCTTTATCTAGTTCATGCTTGCAATATCCTCAGCATATGGGAGTTCTTGTGTTTAACTAAATTGATCTCAGTTTCATTGTACATTTTTCAATTCCATGCATTAGGTATGCCAGATAAATGTGACTACCGATATATACATATTATATTTAGCAGTTTGTGCAAGAGTTTTCTTGATATTCTGTCAGGGATTCTCGGATGAGATTTATGCAATATTACAAATTGTTGAGAACAACTTGATATAGTACGAACCATTGTGAAATCTTTATACTGTATAGCTATGTTAAATGTAGCAGTTTTACATGTACCGGGTAACTTTAAAATGACTGATTTGATAATTTTGTCAGTAAACTATTAAAAAGTATATCTTTAATGAAAGCACACATAAACCCAAAACTGCATGTATGGTTAACCTTTGGTGGTTTACAATCATCATCTTCTTTGTTCAAACAAAACATTTTAGTCACACACAACATTAGCTTGGTTATCTTCTGATTTTGCTTGTATGGTTAGTGGGTTCCTACAATGTTGATTGGTTGATTAATATAGCACACTGCTGATCTGAATATGCTAATAGCCCAAACAGTTGTATGTTCTTCACTTGCAATGTATCAACAGATAGGGAGTCACACTTTCGTTTTTGTGACAACTTTCTTGATGTTGGAATAAATTTACATGGTTATTAAGCAAAATCGGGGAAATATTTCCACTCCATTTTTTACATAGCATCTCTTGGAACTGGATAAAGTAACCATTTTATTCAATTTTGTAAATATAAAAAAAATGTCTTAATAGCAAATTTTTTAGATATTGCTGTACTATTTAGGGAACTTTTATTGTGATTCATGTATGTAGTACCATTTGCTAAGGGAGTGTGTGCGATTAATGAACTACTTGTACTGTTGATGGTACACCCCAAGCATTTATGCAACTTGAACATGTAAAAACTTTCTAAATATTTGTAACAAGCATTCTTTTACAAAATTTTAAAATGAGTTTTTAAAAAATTTTAGCTCCGCTGTCAACTTTGTCGAGCAGAGCTTATCATATGAGTGATTGTCCGTCGTCCGTGTCAATGTTTTACTTTTTCGACTTCTTCTTGAAAACTACAAGCCTGAATGCTTTGATACTTGGTGTATATGTACCTTGGGTAGACCTCTCTTAGGTTTGTTCATTTTATGATCATATCTTCAATTCTCTAATTTTGGTGAATATTTTTTTTCATTTTTGGTAAAAAGTGATATTTTCGACTTAAAAACCGCAAGTCCAATTGCTTTGATATTACATATATAGGTACTAGTACTACGTGTGGACCTCTCTCAGATTTGTTCATTTTGTAATGATATCTTCAATTCTCTAATTTTGGTGAATATTTTTGTAATTTTTGGTAAAAAGTGATATTTTCGACTTTTTGTTGAAAACCGCAAGTCCAATTGCTTTGATACTACATATATTGTTCATTTTCTAATGATATCTTCTGTTCTTTAATTGAAATGTGCATTGCTAACAGCGGAGCTATCTCAGTTGAGAGGCTGCTTGTTTAATATTTGCAATCATTTGGTGTGGATAATTTATTGTGACAGAAATGTATTCTGTAGCATGAAAAACTAGGACATTGTAAAGAAACATTCCATCTTGGGTAAAACTGAAAAACGAATTTCCATGTGACAGGTTCTTTCTTGTTAAAGACTAGAGGTTACTGTAAGTTTGCTATAGGGAAAAAAATATTGCTGATAGGTTGTCATGTGTTTGCTACCTGAAAGTTGTTTCTTGACATCGTGGGTGGATAAATTTCCCCGAGAAGATGGCGAAATTTGCTTCTCCTTTCAAGCAATTGTATACATATACTTACACAAGATGCTAATGCCATCTTTTTATGCATTTGTTTGTTTGTGTGTGTGTGTGTGTCTGTCTGTCTGTCTGTCTGTCTGTCTGTCTGTCTGTCTGTCCACACCTATATTTCAGATATATTAGTATAATCATATTCAAACTTCACACCTGCGTCATGTCATACATATGCTTATATGTGCTTTCCAAAGTCTTGTGTTCCAATTAAATTATGGCAGTTTTAGTGCCAAAATGCACTGGCTCTGGTGTATATGTGGATAATTTCAATTTGTATTATATCTCCTGAGCACTATCTGCCACATTTTGACTGACTGCATTCACCTCTAGTAGTCTATAATCTTTACTTTGAAAATGTACATAAAATGACTGTATCTATACTAGACTGGAGAAATTACAAGTATTCTCATAAAATAATGAATTCTGGTGTTGTATTTTAACTATACACCATTGTACTTTTTTGTGAATGTGAATGTGAATGTTATGCTTGTTATCCACACCCTGATAAAGTCTTGTCTTTCTGGGTTTTTTTTTGCTCATTAAACATGTAAATTTATCTTAAGTCATCAAGAATGGGGCAGTTGGACTTGTTGCTAAGGCAACTAACATTTGATATAACATTTGGGGGGGAGGGGATGTATAACAAATGTCCATTTGTAGTACTGGATATGAGAGTGTGACCTAATGTTATCAATACATTTAGCACCTCTGTGATATCTGATTACTCCAAACAGATTCTCATCAGTCCAGCTGCTGCCCATTCCGAAAGTTTTTATTGAATTTCTAGTTTTATTGATATTTGATATTTTATAGTATTGTATCTGAAAAATGCATATTTGTACATGTGTGGGCTCATGATAGAGCACATATAGTGAATGAATATATCATAATATTCTGTTTCCTTCATTATTTGTATTTTTGTTTAATTTAATTTGGTGCAAATGTTACTGAAAATGACTGCCAATATTTAATACTTGCATCTGCATTTATACATGGTCATCTGTTTTTCATCTTTCAGGTCGTAGTCCATTCTTTCCAGGAGATGATTCATTTTTGGATGATGGTCATTGTGCTGACCAAATTGTACCATCTCTCAATTCTCCCTCAAGAAGCTCACCTAAATCAAATTCATCAGATTATCCTGGAGAACGCTACTCTCGTAAAGTGTTTGTAGGTGGTCTACCTCCAGATATTGATGAAGGTGAGTATAGCACTAGTACACATATACTTGATTCTTTTATTATTATTTATACTCATCGGGGGAAAAAAAGACTACTATTTCAATTGCAACCTTGCATCTTCAGCTCAACAGAAATGGTCCCCATTCAGACAAAGATTTCAAACAATGACTTGTTTCACTGTTGTGATCAATCTATCCGTCAAAACTTCACATATACATTTTAGTTCATTTCAGTCAATATTTTTGTCAATTTTGGTAAAAAATGCTATTTCGACTTCTTATTGAAAACTCTTATTGTTTATAGGCAAATCCACACATTTGTATCTTTCACTGTGGACTGGGTATGCACTTGCCTTCTATGAACTTTGTTCTTTTTCATGTATAATGTATCTGAACAACTTCAGAATAATTCAATTCTTTCTATCTCTCGTCTGTTATTAAGTATACCTATAGTGCAAATTCCTGCTTTGAAATTATTTAAATAGAAGATGCACTGAACGGAAAATATTTATAAATAACCTTAATTTCTGGATCCTAAGCCTGATAACCAGTAAATTTTTTGTACATGTACTGTGTCTCAATGAACCAATTCATGTGCTTGATATCACAACAAAAATGCAGGTTTTGATAAGTATAAAAAAAAATTGTTGTAAAAATAAATATGTTGGAACAGTTAGTTTACTTTACAAAAATGTGTGTAGAAACCACTCTATACAGTAAATAATGTATTTATTGCTATCAAATTTGGGTGCAACATTTTTAACTATAATTCCTTTGTTAATTTTGAGCCAAATTGGCATAATTTCGATACAGGTCTTGATGATGCAGATTATTTCTGTCAAAGGTGACAACATATGACTTTGGCATTCATTCAAAGAATTAGTCTCTATGTTACAAATTACAAACTTGATTGAGACACCTATATATGCCTTTTCTAAGCTAAGAATAATATCATTTCTTTAAATATTAATGAGTGAAAATGATATCTTGCTTTCAAAAGAGTGTAACAAAATGTGATTATGTCAGGGTCAATAGGTATTCAATTCTTCAAAATAAAAGTGACAAACTACTTAGTGACACACCTGGGAGATGTTTTAAAAGAAGAAACAAATTGCCTCTTCCACAGTGAATTCAAAGTGTGATGTATGACTTGTTATTTCTAATACTGCCCTTTTCTATCTTTGGACTTTTCCCTGATAAATTGTTTGGTTTGAGATTCTTAATTTAGCACCACTTTCAATCTTAGGTTCATTATTATACCTGTCATAGTAAATCTTCTTCTTGTCAAGTGGTCATGATCTTAGTTCTGTGATTGAGCTTCTGATTTGCATAACAGCAATTGGTATTCCATACTCGTAGAAACACTCCTCTTTGCTAAATCAAGTAGTAGACTGCATAATCTGATGATAACACTGATCAACTGAATATACCTGTAGAGGCGGAGATTAAATTTTAAGCAATGTGATTTCTCTCTTATTCACATAAAAAACCCTGAAAGGTGAATAATTTCCTTGGTTGACAACTCACTCTTCTAGTTTCTTAATTAAAAATGTCAAATTAACCGAACTGTCACTTAATAAGCTTTGTAGTTGTATACTTAATACCCTCCCACATAGAATCAAATGTAAATGTCACAATTGATTATATTCCCCGGCAAAGGTGACTAGGATTAAAAAAAATGTCAAGTTACATCAAAGTTGACATGACATTATTTTCCTCGTCCATATTGTGGATTAAGGGGAAAACTGTTTTCTTGCTATTAGAATAACTCAAAAAAATTGTTTGAAAAATTTTTTATATTTCTAAGGTGTGTACCGGTATATATATATATATATAGTTGAAAATTCATATTGCATTTTTTGTATGCTGCCTCACTAAAATATTACTCGTATTGATGACCGAAATGTAATTTTTAATACTTAAACGTATGCACAACTAATAGAACAGATACGGTCCATGCATATCTCATTAGAGCAACAACAAATTTGTTTCTGATCAGCACATAGTCTCTGCCATAATATACCCCAAAACGAAAAAGGATTTTGTAAATTATTGCCCAGTCTTACAATACCACTTTTCTTACAGAGGAAATTACTGCAAGTTTCCGTCGTTTTGGTAGCCTTGTTGTAGACTGGCCACATAAAGCAGAGAGCAAGTCTTACTTTCCTCCCAAAGGTAAGAAGATATCAAGACAGCTGAAGTTGCATTTACTTAAGTTATAGTAATAATCTACAGTTAACATTTATATCTTCCTACTATTTTATTTACTATATTTATCTACCACTGATTTCCCCCCACAAACTCCTTAACAATGTTAGCAATCTGCCAGCACTGGAAACATTCTTTACAACATTGGCATTGTCAGTTCTTGAGTTGCCTGTCCTGTCAATGTAGTTTGTTTGTGATAATATCTTCAACTCTTTATTTTTAGCTCAGCTGTCGACTTTGTCGAGGAGTGCTTATCATATGAGTGATTGCCCTTCGTAGTCTGTCGTTGTCCGTGTCAATGTTTTACTTTTTCAACTTCTTCTTGAAAACTACAAGCCTGAATGCTTTGATACTTGGTGCATATGGTGCTTGGTGTCTACCTTGGGTAGACCTCTCTCAGATTTGTTCATTTCATGATCATATCTTCAATTCTCTAATTTTGGTGAATATTTTTGTCATTTTTGGTAAAAAATGATATTTTCGACTTCTTGTTAAAAACCGCAAGTCCAATTGCTTTGATATTAAATTTATAGGTACTACATGTGGTCCTCTCAGATTTGATCATTTTGTAATGATATCTTTAATTCTCTAATTTTGGTGAATATTTTTGTCATTTTTGGTAAAAAAGTGATATTTTCGACTTCTTGTTAAAAACCGCCAATCAAATTGATTTGATATTAAATATATAGGTACTACATGTGGATCTCTCTCAGATTTGTTCATTTTGTAATGATATCTTCAATTCTCTAATTTTGGTGAATATTTTTGTCATTTTTGGTAAAAAGTGATATTTTTGACTTCTTGTTAAAAACCGCAAGTCCAATTGCTTTGATATTACATATATAGGTACTACATGTGGTCCTCTCTCAGGTTTGTTCATTTCATGATGATATCTTTAATTCTCTAATTGACTCCCGTGTGCAAAGCACAAAAAGGGAGTCTTTGCAGTTAATGTGTGTGTGTGTGTGTGTGTGTGTGTGTGTGTGTGTGTGTGTGTGTGTGCGCGTGTGTGTGTGTGTGTGTGTGTGTGTGTGTGTGTGTGTGTGTGTATGTATGTCTGTCTGTTCCATCGATATCTCAAGAACCAATGTTCGATTTCAATGAAACTTGGATATATAGCTTGTCTGGGGCAATGCGCAATTTGATTATTTTTTGGTTGACACCATGCATATTAATGAGCTCATCTGCATAATAATGTGTTAATTTTAAGTTATTTCA